CCGGGCCCACCACGGGGGGCAGCACCGCGGCCATCACTGCAGGCAGCACCACGGCCATCACTGCAGGCAGCACCTCAGCCATCGCTCCAGGCAGCACCACAGCCATCGCTCCAGGCAGCACCATGGCCATTGCACCCACAGCCCCAGTGAGCCTGGCCAAGACGGTGGGAGGTCTCCCGGCCCCAGGCACTGCAGCACTGAGCCCACCAGCCACCACCAGTCCTGCCACCACCCTAGCTCCTGCATTTGGGACACAAAGGGGACCAGCCACAGCACCAGGGACATCTGCCCACACCACTGCTGGCCACAGAAATCCTGCCCCTGAGCCACAACTCACCCATAGGCCTATCAGTAAGTAGATTTTCTTCTTCCCAAAGCAAAGAGCAGGAAGGGGTTGTCAGCTGCCCAAGCACTGTGATGGCTGAGGGTACAGCCTGGCCCGGGGTGACTTTTCTGCATTGCATGTTGGGCTGCCAAATTCATGGGGAAAGGTGAAACAGGCCATTTGAGAGCATCCTATTCCAAGTTAAAAAATGGGTTACAAGCCATCAGAGCACTGGTCCAGCCAGGAGGAGCGTAGACACAGCATCTCCGTGGCAAGGCAGTGAGCTTGCCCCGGCTGCAGGAAGGATAGAGCAGACATTAATGTTTTTCACCATTTTTATTAATCTCCTGCCCGTGTCAGTGCCAGCAGCCTCGCTCTACCCTTTCAGCATGGAGGGAGGGGACCAAGAGTGCATACAGAGGACGGTGGATTTTAACTCCCCCCTGTTCAAGCCAGAGATCGGGTTCCCCTTCGGGAAGTCACTGCGGGATGTTCTCTACGTGAGTGTGTGTGTCCCCCCCCCAAGCATATAAGGGATGTGCAGCCTCTTTGGTAGAAAAAAAAACCCCAAACATGGAAATGGAGCAAAAACCAAATTTCATCTGAATGTTGGGGGGTTTTTGCAATTTGAATGGCATGTTTCTACTGTCCCATGGAGGCTAAAAGCCACATGGGCCAGGCAGGAGCTGCCTGCAGTGTTGGCAAATAACAAGTTATTTTTGGTTAGTTCACAGATAATGGACAGATCATTTTCCCACCCACGGACAACTATGTCCCCTCCAACCCCAACCCGCCTCCCACAGGCTTCAGCGGCTGGGAGGGTCTGCCGATGGTGGCTGCCTTTTGGGATGACGCAGATTTCTCCCAGGGCGTAGGCACCACTTGGTACCAGGTCAGGGCCACCAAAGATGTTCTTCTGGCAGACCCCAGCTCCCAGCTCATCTATTAAACACTCTCTCTTGCCAACCGGCAGGAGTACTCTACCCTCAGCTCTACCCGAGACCCCCTTGTCCGTGATGTGGAAGCAAAGATTGAGAAATACCTGAAAACACCCTATGTAGCAAAATGGACCTTGAAGGTGACATGGGAGAAGGCTCCAGCGTACCCATCCCGGCGGGATGACGCTCAGGTGAGCAGTGGGCGACCCAGGTGATGAAGGGGATGGCCACCAGCAATGCTGGTCTCCTGTGGCTTCATGTGGGCGTTTCAGGTCTCACTGCCTCAGTCTGCACTGGCTTTGGGGGTGCTAAGGGGGTGCCTTGGGTTTCTCCAGACGAGCACCTACCAGGCGGTCCTCACCACCAATGGCAACCTCTCCTTCGCCCTGCTGCTCTACCAGGATGGAGGGATGCGGTGGGACTACACCAAGCTGGCTGCAGGCAACGTGCTGATCGGCTTCTCCAGGTGCTGCGCACATCTGTGGCTGCATTTTGGGTCAGCAGGGATTTCTCTCAGCACTATGTTGGGAACATCAGAGATGTTATCCCCAGAACCCAGCTCCTACCCCCAGAGCAACCCTGTTCTGTTTAAACCCTCTCTCCTGCACCACAGCAGTTCCCACCCCAACTCCTCTATGGGGAGCAGAGGACGGTTACATTGGGAGAGTGACCCCAAATCTCCTCTCTCCACACAGTGGTGATGGCTATGCCCAAAATAATGAGCTGACTCAAAAGCCACTGGCTGTCAAGTACCGACCTGACGAGCACAGCAGCGCTGGCACCGGTACGGCACCGGGGGAGCCCTCGGGGGGTGTGGGCATGGAGGGACCAGTGTGCTCTGCCCTGCGAGCACGTCCCCAGCACACATCCCTGCGAGGCAATGGGCCAGCGAAGTCACCAGGCCAGGGCTGGCCACCGAGAGCAGAGCACAGGGTGTCCCATGTCCTGCTGTGGTTTGCCACTGCCACGCTGGCTCTAGAGGGAGCCTGGAGACCTCGTGTGAGGTCAATGGCTGGGGACGGTTGGCCCACGGGATCCACCTTGGCACAAGGCGAGACCCTGGCCAAGCTGTGCTGTTCTCCGGTTGCCCCCCTAGATGTGCGCGGACTGTGGATATACAGGCTGGACAGTCGCTCCCGGGTGAACTACAGGCTGCGGTGCCTGGTGTGGCTGGATGCACAGCCTGCGCCCGCTGCCTGGAACAGCAAGCTGCTGCCATGCCCCTGCTCCCGGCCCCAGGCAGAGCTGGACCCCCGCTATCTCTGGAGCAGAGGTGCTGAACGTGGTCCCCTGGGGCCAGCCACAAGGTCGGGGGGACGATGGTGGGGTCTCCTCCTCCTCTGGGGGTGTCTGTAATCCCCTGCACTGTTTCAGGCCCAGCAGATGCTTCTGTGAGGATGCTGCGCACTGCGGCCCCCAGCCCGACCGGAGCTGGGGTGCGGTGTCTGTACCAAGATGGGAGCTTGCTCGAAGGCTGGCAGGAGAGAGCCTGGAGCCTCCCCATCCACCCCGGGGCTGGTAAGCACACATCACTTCTCCCTTGTCCTAAAACACCCCAAACACCCAGCACTCTGTAGGCGCAACAGGGACCCCAATGTCCCCCACTGCCCAGCCGCCTTCCTCCGCAGACAGGGAGCTGGAAGCATTCGACTGGTGCTGCCGGCGCGTGGGGAAGCCCCTGTTCTGTGCCAGGTTTGCTGAGAAGAGACCGAGGGTCGGCTGTGAGGGATATGTGCCACCCACCCCCGGTGAGCCCCCAGGTCTCTACCTCCTCCGTGCCAGAGTACTGAGTGGGTGGCACAGTGGTATGCGGACCCCATGCATTAACCACACTTTGCAGCATCCCGGTGGGGACTGCTGAGCCCAGCGCAGCACCGGGGACTGCTCTCCTCTGTACAATGACATCAGCGTTTGCTTTTCTTCCTCCTCCCAAAACGGCTCTGTCTCCTTTGAACCCCAGCTGGTGCCTTCGGTGACCCCCACATCACCACCCTGGATGGACTCACCTACACCTTCAATGGGCTTGGGGACTTTGTCCTGCTGCTGGCCAGAGATGCCTGGACCAGCTTTGTGCTACACGGGCGCACAGCCCGGACCAACATGGCCCAGGCCACCAACTTTGTGGCCTTCGCTGCCCGGTACATCTCTGCCACCACTGCAACAGTGAGTAGGATACCTGGGTATCAGTTTGAGCTTCTAACAGGAGAGACCCCTCTGGCAGCTCGGGCATCACCTCTCCATCACCTACAAGTGGCCAGGACCCAAGGAGCATCCCCTCTCCTCTTCCTGCCACCTCCCACCACCCCAACAAAGTGCTAATAGCAGTGTGTTGGACTAAGACTAACGAGACATAGCTCTAACATCTCTTGCAAGCTGGCCAGCAAGGGTCTGGAGCTCTGCAGAAACATTGTCTGCTCCACCATCTTCAATGCATAGCCTTCACCCCGACCATCGGTCTCCTCCAGACACATTAGCACAAGCGCGTACTCTTCCTTGTTTTGCAGAATTGCTCCCCACACCCCTTTCAGTAAGCAAAATCTCCTGGTGTCACCAGAAGCAGCCACTAAGCAACATCAGAAGGGGTCTCAGAGCCTGGAGCCCACCAACACAGCTCTCCATGCTGTCATGGTCAGCCAAGCAGGGATGGTGGCCTGTGCATGCCCATGTCAGCAGTGACAGGGGTCAGCTTGCTGTCTTCTTCTGTGCAACCATCGAAGCTGCTTTATCATGTATTTTCTGGTGCCAACATGACCCACAGGTCTAATCCTCTCTGCGAGGGCTGGAGTAGGACAGGGTTTAGCTCAAATGTCCCCAGCGTAGGGGGATGGCAGGAAGGGACAAGCAGTGGGGCTGACTGGGACATCTGCCATGATTTGCAGGTAGAGTGGACCTTGGGAAGCCAGGGTGACATCCAAGTCCTTCTGAACAACAAAACCATCCAGTTTTCCTATTCCCAAGGTGAGCAGGACATTAAATGTTAAATGTATCTGGGGGGGGATGAGGAGTGTCCCCATCCCACAGGGGTGGATGGGGAGCACTCCCCTCACCAAACTCAGGGGCATCGTTTCAGACCCCAGCCTTGCATGGACTCTTCCTCTATACTCTCCTTCTCTTGCAGACATGGGTGCCGCAGTATACTACAGCCCTGGTGTTCTGCTGGTCAATGCCTCTTCCATCACGGCCATCTTTGACGGGGCCATCGCTGTCTCCATCTCAGCCACCTCTGGGATCCTCAGTGTGGTCTGCAGCCTGCCCAATCAGTACTGCAACAACACCAAGGGCCTCCTGGGTGAGGAATTCTGGCACCACTGCAGATCAGGGTGCAAAGTCCCCTTCCCACCCTAAAGCAGGCTGGAAGGCACTTGGGGAACATGCTTGTGAGGGCAGGGACCCTGAGTCTAAACTAAACACCAGCCAGCACCAGAGAGGAGGTCAACCCCAGCATGGGGGACTCCAGTTCTCTGGCGATACTCCACCAGGTGTGTGGGACCACGACCCTGCAGATGATTTCCAGATGCCGAATGGTACCAGCATCTCTGTGAACAGCAGTGAGGAGGAGATCTACAGCTATGGGATGACCTGTAAGTCCAGGCTCAGGATCCACCTTGATGATCCCCCTGTTCCTGCACCTTCTGGCCATGCTTTGGCTGGAGACATTTAGATGCCTGAGCAAAAGCGTTACCAGGAAAATCCTTTGGTCTCCTCGCTGCTCTGTAGAAATGAGCCCTAAAATATTACAAACCTTAAAATCCCAAGGCCATACCCATGGTGTGCTCTCTTGCAGGGGCTGTTGGAGAGCACAGGCTGTTTGCTCAGCCTCTGGACTCATCGGTAATGAACTTCACGCCCACCTTCTTGTCTCAGCTGTGGCAGGAGAACAAAAGCCAGTACCAGCTGGCAGCCTCGCAGTGCCACGGCAGCAAGGAGTGCATTTATGATGTGCTGAGCACAGGGGACGTGGCCCTGGGCCTGGCCACCCAGAGCCTCGCAGCTGACTTTCAGCAGAAGAAGGCAGTACTCAGTAAGTGGAGCAGATCCTCACCTCCAGGAGGGCACGGCTTGGGTAACCAGCCAGTGCCCTGCTCCCTCCCTGGGCTCTCTTGCTCCACATGAGGCAGGAGAGAAGTCAACAAGGTCTTGGAGTTGCATTGGTTGGCTGGCTGGTCTGCAAGCCTGGGAGATGCCACCACACTGTGCAACACGAGGGCCTTAGTGGTGGACAGTCATGGCAGCATCTGCCTCAGGTCCCATCCTCACCAGGAGGGACTCAGAGCCCAGGGGTGCCGAGGCCATGTAGCAAACAACCAGCTGTGTGCTGGGCTGCTCTTTCCTCAGACGCTTTCCCTCCCGTCATCACTGGCGACGCATCGCTCACGGCCTTCAGGACAGAAAGGGTCATGAGGCAGTACCGTGCTGTGGGGGAGGGTGCACGCTTTGTCCCCCACCTCTCGCCAGAGCTCAACATATCGGGTAAGGAGGAGAGATGGGGCAGCTGAGTGGGGATGGGGGGACACTGGCCATCCAGTCCTTTTCTTTTGCCACTTCCTCTGACTCCCACCTCTCCTCCCGGCAGAGAGCGGCACCCTGACGTGGGAGCCCCGCGGGACGGGCCCACTCACCATCAGCCTCAAGGCTGTCGGGTCCAACAACCTCTCCGCCCTCCTCCAGCTCCGCTTCACCCTCTGCAGCTGCAGCAGGAGCCAGGAGTGCGACTACAGCAACACTGTCACCCTGGGGCGGTCCTCCCTGCAGGTAGTGTGCCGGAAAGCTCCTCCGGTGCCACACCGTGCCTGTCCCCATGACAGCCGCGCAGGCTGTCTTCTCCGTCCACCTGTCCTCCTCGTGTTCCCTAAGCCAGTGTCACCATCCCCTTCCCAGCTGGCAGCCTGCAGGTGTGAGGGCGGCTACTCGGGTCCCTTCTGCCAGGACCCTCCAGAACCCTGTGCCCAGGGATGCTTCCCCGGCGTGGACTGTGACTCGCACACTGGCTGCGGCCCCTGCCCGTCCGGCCTGACCGGTGACGGGCGGCACTGCTCAGGTGATGAGGGCTCGCCGTGGTCACTGGGAACCCGGGGTGCCTGTGGGACCCCAGCCGAGGTATTTCTCCTGGTGCCATGCTGCATTGCCTCGGCAGATATGGACGAGTGCGCACAGGGGACGCTGTGCCCGGGTAACACCACCTGCACCAACACAGTTGGCAGCTATGCCTGCTCCTGCACAGCCGGCGAGGAGGGTGAGTACAGGCGCCCTGGTGGGCACGGTCCTTGTCCCCATCACCCCCCCAGGCCCCAGTGGAAGAGGGGGCTCCCATGGGACC